TTGAGTGCCAGTTGCTTTCTAGCATAGGCATCTGGTACAGGTGACACTGTGCCACTAAAAGAAAAACCAAAGACGAGAAGGGTAAGGATGGGGTCCCCGTGACTCTCCTGGTGTCTCTATGAGGAACCATTCCCAATGCTGGCAAGAAGGTGTGGGGAATCACAGAGTCACCTAAAAATAGCTCTTACTGTCGGAAGCACATTGCACTTTGGCAAGAGGAGGAGGCTTCCTTAGGGCTGGCAGTGGGTTCCCCCGCACTCTGGCTGTGGATGCCAGGAGACTACTGAGCAGTCAGGAAGAGGGAGGCGGCTTCCACCCTCACCCTGGGTCTAGCTCATCGTCAGAGCAGGTTGCATCATGACACTCAGCAGAGCAGTGGTTGCAGGGCTCCGTCACTGCCAGGATACTGTGGACCCAGGAAGGGCATCCAAAGGCCAGCTCCTTGGCATCTGTTGCTGTGAAGATGTTCACATGTGCTGCCATCCCCTTCCTGGGTAGGACAGCTAGCTTTCTTGACACCTTACTGAGCCCTGCTCTCACCCAGGTGACAGATGGGACAGGGTGGACATTATCTTGGTTTGTTCAAGCTGCTATAACTGAATACCGTATACCAGGAAGCTTAGGAACCACAGTTTATTTCTCACAGTTTTGGAGACTGGAAATTCAATATTAAGGCTCAGCCTTCATAAGCAGGACCACAACTCTCAGGGGTGGGAAGCCCAGGGATGCACTGGGGTTTGTACTGGACTCCAGTATGCAGCACAGAGGAAAGGTATTGACAGCACCCGGAAAGACAGCAGGCAGTGCCTGGTGTGGGTGGGAGGTGGTAGCTCACACTACCTGTGGGGTCCTGGCTGCCACATCCATGATCCCCATCCTTTCAGGGAACTCCCACCCCAAATACTCTGGGCCCCTGCGTACTCCAGACCTTTGCCACAGGACCTGTGTAATCTTCAGGCCCCACAGTAGTGGTACTGGCTCTTTGCAATCACTAGTTCTTGAGTCACTTATTCCTGGGTCTGTGGGGCCACTACACTTTGGACACTGGGCCAGGGGAATGTAACACTGGCCAGCATTAGCCCCTTAAAACCTGAGTTCTCTTGGATGAGGTGGGTGCAGGGAGTGGGGGATGTCAGGACAACCTCGTGCAAATCAGGTCAGAAGATTGCAATAAGCCCAGCTTCAAGGCTCAGGGATAGGAACTGGGGAGGATGGAATGCTTCTGCAGAAGAGTACTATCTTGCCTTCTTTGGGGGTGAAGGAAGACTCTGTCCATGACAGCATGCAGGGGTGTAGATGCACATGTCCCCCGCATTTCCTCCAAGCCCTGCAGGATGTCTATGAAATAGGCATTCTGTGATGCTCCAGTAATGAGATACTGAGATGCACGTGATAGAGGAGATAGTGGAGATCCCAGAGCTGAGGCTTCCGATAATGGCCAGAGGAATACGCACAATGTGGCAGGGCCAAGGCTCCAGCCACTTTTCCACAAGACACAGTCTCCAATGTCTCTTCCCCAGCAAAGCCTAGTCCACCCTGCTCTGTCACTTCCTAACCATCCACATGATCATCTTTCTACCACCCTCACCCCTAATAGATTGTCACAGTAGAGATATTGATGATGTGCCTTGCAGAGCATGAGATTAAATTACTGTTAAGTATAAGCGTCTGAGTGCCAGAGAGAACGCAATTGTCAGTTTTTGAGTTATGAAAACAGATTAACCCTATCCCCACCACTACCAGTCAGTTGATTCTGTGAAGTGTGAGCCTTGCTCTCTCTGGAGTCTTACTCCAAGGACATGGACACTTTTATTGGAGGAGGTCTGGCCCCTGGCTAATGCTAATATCCCTGCATGCTTTAGGGTCTCTGTGGTCCTGAATGTCAAGGGCAGAGTCCCCTGGGTCCCAGGCATCAGGTCCTGTTTGCCCTTGTTTTCTATGCCGTGGTTTTGTTGTCTGTCTCAAGAGAGAACTGTCAGCACCAGCAAAGGGTCTCGCATCACAGACATCACGGAAAACCCAGGTCAGAGCATAGGGTGCTTCTAACCGGGCATGACCACAGGAAATGATGCTATTATGAGTCAACTCTAAAAAACATGTTGGAATCAGCGAAATTGATTTATTCTGTGCCATGTTACTTAGGCAAAGATTTTAGATCTCAACATCTTGATCAAATGTCTTGGTTTTGGCACGAACTCACTGTGTGTCAGGTAGTCATGTATGCTCTCTGTGCCTGTTTTATCTGTCTGTGCAGCCGGCACTTACCTCCCAGAGTGAGGACCAAAAGAGTGGATCCCTGTGAAGCACTCAGGTGCCATGCAGTACATACAGAGTGCTCACGACATTTACTTTATAAATGATACTGACCAGCATGCCCTAAACCCAAGTAGACAGCCTTGCATATCCTGCCTCCTTTCTGCCTCTGAAACCAGGAGCCATGAGCCAGTGTCCAGTTAAAGCATCCTTATAACAATCTGTCCTCCACCTCTGCTATGAGACATGTAATGGGACCTGTAGTGGGCTAAACACAGGGCAGGCAGATGCCGGAGGGAAGCCAGCCACCTGCTGCCTGAGACACTGTCCTGAGCTAGGAAAAGCAGGCCACTGTCACCTGTATGTTGTCTCTTTTGCATTATGGGCAGAATTACTTTAAGTGGATAGCTTGGTGGCCTTGGCTTTGATCCTAGATTGACAGTGCCCAGGGCTGTTCCTTGCAAGTGTGAGCTGCTCTTTAGTTTCCTTTCTGGTCATTGTTGGTACCTGTGTGTCTGACTGTGCTACCATGTGGGGCCCAGGTCACTGCTACAGGAGTGCTCCACCCCTGCTACATAAGTCATCAAGGAAGTCATTCTGACACATGAGTGACAGCAGACTTCATGGTTCTTTGTGTGGCCACCACTGTCCTAACCTTAGCATTCATGATCTTACCAAGTCCTCACACCAACCCACCTTACAGATGGGAAAACTGAGGCCTAGGGGTTAAACAGTGCCTGGTGCCATGTAGTATGCATCTGGAATTTGCACTCAGGCATCCCAGGCTTAAGGTTTGTGCCCTTCACCTCTGGCCTCCATCTCCATCTCTCTGCAACTTTTTTTTTTTTTTTTTTTTTTGTCTTTTTTCCTTTTTATCGGTACCGGGGATCGAACTTACGACGGCCTGCTTTCAAGGCAGGCGCTTATGCCACTGAGCTAAACCCCCAGCCCCTCTCTCTGCAACTTTCACATGAGGTATTTGGCTGTGAGGACAGGTGAGAGGTGCCCTGCCCTGTGGCAAAGGGGCCAGATAACACCATGAAATGGCATCATTCAGGGTTTGCTGAATCCGGCATCCCCCACTGAGATACAGAAACTAAGTCAGAGGATCTAAGAGCAAGGGGGTATGGGGGATCCTTCCTCAGAAAAGAGCCACCTCTGGCCTCTGCCTCTCTGATTGGAAGTGCCTAGGTACATCACTGGACCACATGCATGCCATAGACTGGAGAGAGATGCCCTAGACTGGGGACCCACAGTGCAGAGCCAAATCTCAAGAGGGACCATGTTTTAGGGCACTGAAATATGAGGACTCCACCTGCTCACCACTTGTGAGATCTCTGCCCTCACCCTCAGCTGGTCTAATTCATCTTCCAACACCTGCTGACCTCTCAGGGCAGATCCCCAGCCAGGTCTCCTGTTGCCTCTCCCACCTGCTGCTCTGCACAGGTGGAATCTTGTCTTTTTAAAACATTGTGTTGAAATACATATAAGCCTCACTGCATTAACCATAGTTAGATGCAGGGTACAATATCCCAGGGAGAGAGAGAAATGGTCCTTGACTTGCAATGATTTGACTTAATGGTTTGATTTTGTGACGGTGTGAAAACAACAGGCATTCGTCCCTTACCATACTTCTGACTTAGATTCTTAGCCTTTTTTGGATTATCCACTTTGTGCCACATTGCTCTCTGGCAGTGCTGGGCAGTGATGCTGCAGCTCCCAGGCGGTCATGAGAAAGAACCACCAACACTACAGAGTGCGCTGGTGCAGGGCCGTGACATTTGGCGGGAGAGGTCATTGAATGCATTTTTTACTTAAGATATTGTGATGGCTTTGTTAAGATGAAACCCATCCTAGTCAAAGTGTGTTGTGTATTGTGTGTTGTGTGTAAAAGGAAGACATTTATTGTAAGGTGTCGACTCACCTGAGGGTAGGACTGATGAGTCTGAAATCAGTGGGGCAGACCTGGGTCTTGCATTTGTGACCTCTGGATGATCAGTCGGTCCTGCTGCCTTGTGTGGTACCATGAGCTCAGTTCTTCCGCAGGTCCACACATGCTAGCTGAAGGCCCAGGGTTGCCTCTCTGAGGTATCATGTCCCCTGTCCTGTGATCTCTGGTTTGGAGGTGCCCCCTGGCTTCACTTGCTTGGCTCTTCCCAAGTTTCAAGCATCATATAAAATCTTTGTCATAGGCAACAGGTCTGCAGGGCTGCACTGGAATAATTTTTGTAGGGAGTTTCTGGTGCTGCTTACCTGGCTATGCCCACAGGCGTGGGCAGAATGTTCTGCTCTGAGCTGAAAACTTTAAATGCCTTCTCAAGTCTTTGCCTTCTGTCCAGTATGGGGACTGGCTTAATCTAGCAGAAAGACGGACACCTGGATATGACTGTGGGACCCAGGCAAGCGCTCTTGAAATGTGGGATGTGTAAGATGACACTTGTAGACTCTGACCTTGTAGAATTCTCTGCTGCTGTTCAAAAAATTTCTTCTGATGCCTCTGGACAGAGCCCTTGCTCATTTAAGTTCTGGAATGATAGCTCCATCATGATAAAACAACCAGGCACTCTGGGAGGAGTTCCATAGTGTCAAAGAGAAACAGTGTGAGTTGATAGATATCACACCTGCCCTTTGCAGAGCTGTGACTGGACACCCTCTGTCACAAGGCCGTCAATGATGTAAAGCCTGTAGAAACCCATTACTGTCCTCTGCAGCTGACACTTAATTTCCATGTAATTTCTCATCCGCAGGTGGCGATCATAGCAGGCAACTTCGAGCTGGCAGAGTACATCAAAAACCACAAGGAGACAGACATTGGTGAGTAAGCTCATGGGAAAACTACGGCAGCATTCAGTTTGGCTAAGGGTATGCTCACCAGCTTTCCAGAATCCTCCTGAGATTGGTTCAGAGCCCACTGTTTTTTTTTTTTTTTTTTTTTTTTTTTTTTTTTTTTTTTTTTTTGGTCTTTTTCCTTTTTATCGGTACCAAGGATCGAACTCACGACTGCCTGCTTTCAAGTCAGGCGCTTATGGCGCTTATGCCGCTGAGCTAAATCCCCAGCCCCTTCAGAGCCCACTGTTAGCAAACTCCGTGAGGAATTTGGCACAAGCACCCTTTCTGCCTCTGATCCTGTTTTCTTAACTGATGGCAGGGAAGGGTAAAGAAGACCTTGGAAATGGGGCAGGATATATCCCTGCTTTCCTGGAGGGTGAGGCTCTTGTCTCTTCTGAAGGTTCCCATGGCAAAGTTTTCCTCCATATGAGTCTAACTGATGTGGGAAGGTAGGAAGAGGAATAGAAAACACTTTATCTGTACTGGAAGTTGGCACAAGGAACCTCTATCTGATTTATACCTCTGATTTTCTCAAATATTGAGAGAAATTGATATCTATTATCATAACCTTGTCCAAACCCAGAAAATGTCATACCCCATCAGTGAACCCTGGGACTTCAGATCGGGTGTTAGGTTCATTAGTTAAGACAGATATACTGCTCTTGTGGGATGTGTTGATCACGGGAGAGGCTGTGCATGTTGGGGTCAGGTAGGTATCTCTACACGTCCCTCTTGGTTTTGCTGTGAGCCTATGCCTGCTCCAAAAAGTAAAATCTTCCACAAATCTAAGAAAGTAAGAAACTAGGCGGGGAAACTTGCTAAGTATCAAGGGATAGATACAGGGCATTGTTCTGCTGGTGAGTCGGATTAACTTACAGGTTGTTTGGATGTGTTTATTGGAAGGGGTCAGGATGTACTCGCTTCCAAGTAGATCATGGGTGGCGATTAAATCAGAAGAGAGAGCCACGGGGTCTCTCCCCTGTCCTCTCATTGCTCCATTTTGCTTTCCCAGCAATGGTGCTGATGACCATTCCCCTTTTTAGTACCCCTTGTGCCAACCAGGAGGGCAGTGTCTGGGGCTCCTCCCCGTGCCCACCGCCCAGCCATTGCCTGGGCCCAGTCTTGCACCTTGGATGAGCCCACTGGCCTGGTCCCTCCAGCCCCGGGCTTCCACAGGACCTGCAGCGGGGAACAGTCCTATTGGACCAACAGTGGTGAGCTTTCAAGGATGGTGCATTGCTCAGTGGGGCTGGAGCGGGGCTGAGAAATGGTGGGAAGGAGTCTGTTGCGCATTGTCTGTGCCTTTGCCCCGTTTGGGGTGCTAGGAGTAAGCCAAACTCTGCTGTTTGGCTGTCCTGTCTTTACTGTGTCTGGTGTGTGCCTTGTCCTGACTCTGGCTGGTTCCTGTACTGTGTGGGGAATCGTAGGAAGATGCAGAGGCAGATGATTGGCTTGCATTATCCTGCACCCCATGAAGAGCATCAGACCTCCCAAAGTTGCACTGATACTGATGCTCACCCTCCTGTGAGCCAGGGCAAATCATTTAATTGCCGTGAGCTCCAGGCCTCCAACAGCCGCATCAGCACCTCCATGAGTGCATTATAGAGATAGATGGGTTAATGTCAGCAAAGTGCTTTAGAAAATGATCTAAGCTCTTAGAATGCCGGAGACCATCTTCCTGCTGCCTGCTGTGTATCAGAAAGCGGTGCAGTGGAACAGATTTGGCTTGAGGAATGAAACACTAGTGGCTTAGAAGGGAGTCAAGGAAGGGTGGTGACCGATTTCCAGCGCAGACCCTACCTGCAGCAGTGGGGATTGTTCACATACCCCAGGATGCAGGGTCCTGAGAGCGCATAGCTCTCCAAGCTGTCTGCCACCGTCAGGATCTCTGGGTTCTCTGTTGTGGTTATTAACTGACAACCTTGACTGGAAGCAGCACAGCCATGTGGGAGGCCGCTGTGTTTCCTTCCTTTGCTCTCTGGATGAAACAGAGACTCAGCTCTACTTCTGTCTGAGCCTCTCCGCACAACTCACAACCTTTCACTCCTTTCCTTAGACGAAAGAATCAGCCACCAAACTCCTACAAAAGGCAGAGCTCCCGTGCCAGGTCACTTAAAGTTGATGTTAGAACCCAGCTCCAGGAGAAGGATGGCTTGTCTCTTCAATTTGGAGACAATAATTGGCTCTCTTATCTGGATGCAAACACCTTATCACAAACTGAAACCTTTTTATTATTATAAGAGATACCTGTTTGGCAGGCGAATCTAGTTAGCAACCACTCACCCATTCTGATGAATTATTTGAACTGCAAACAGCATCCCCTACAGAGAGAGAAACCTTCACTTCTGCATGCCACAGGCTGGGGCTGGGGCGTGAGCCTCCTGATTCTGCCCTTTGTGAACTGTCTGGGCCTGTAGTGAACACAAGCTTCTTGTGACAAACAGATGATAAATTTTCCTGCTTTGGAGGCTTTTTCAGGGTCCCAAAGGGAAAAGTCTGTGTAAAATCTGCACTCGCCACAGTGCCCCTTCTGCATCCCCAAAGAAGTTGCTTTGTTGTTTTGTTTTGTTTTGAAGACTTCTTTCCATCTGAACTGGCTAGAGATTTGTGATTGTGCACTAGCAAACTGGCACCAATGCAAACTATGGTTTAAGATTGAGTAGAAAGCCTCCCAGGGGAGGGATGCAGGGCATGTGGGCTATGAGGGCCGGGCCAATACCGTGTTAACCAAACCACTCACACTGAGCCCATTTACTTCTTCGCCACCTGCATACCTGCTTCCCACCACCCCTTATTACCAACAGGGCCACAGGCTGGGTATATGGCCAGGAGGGGCAGGTACTCTGTCCCTGTAGCCTGCTTACTTTCATAGATTGTGCCATTGTCTGAGAAAGCTGGCTGATTCTGGCATTGAAAACAGCTGCCACATACTAAGCACTGAGAGCCCAGCATTTTATACACAAAGACCTCTGCCTCTGGATATGGTTGGTTCCCTCTTACCAAGGAAGGCCCTGAGGAGTGATGGGGCCTTGGCACAGAGCCTGGCACAGAGCTCAGGGCAACAGTAGGTCAGGGTTAGGGTGAAAGGGATGCCAGGGCACTGGGGCACAGGGAATCAAGTTGGGAGCATGAGGCACCAGAGCCTGGCAGCATGGACCTGAAGGCCCTGTCCTTCTTGAGTCCTAGTGAAGCAACAAACATGCTTTGGCCTTGCTCCACTGTCCCCAGGGTGGACCTGTTTATATGTTTTCCCAATAGTTCAAATCTTCTTTAGTGCAGGTTCCTTCTAGGTGCCAGGAAAGCCCTCCTCAGAAAGCTGCAGGTGCCAGTAAGCAGTGCTGCACATGGGGGCAGTGAGGCCAGGGCTGGAGGCGGGGCTCCCACTGCATCTTCTGTACTTTTTCAGAGTTACACTTCCTGTAGTGAATGAGCAAGCCAGGGCTCAAACCCCAGCCATCCCACTCAAGATAATACCTGTGCTGTCCCCCAAGCAGGGCCAACTGCCTCCTATAGAGCAGGGACACTTCTACCCCATGGGAAAGCTGCCCACATGGATTGGCCCAGGAACCCTGACTGGAAAGGATAGGCAGAGGGGGGAAAAGAGGGTTCCCCAGGTGCTGACCTCCAGCAGCATAGCTCCCTCTCCCCATAGTTAAGGGTGTCCCTCTCTGTGTTTTGGTCCAGGCTTTATGGCTCTATAGCCACTAGAGTTTAGCATTGCTGGCTGAGGATCAGCTCCTGCCTTGCACTTAGAGGGGAGTGGCAGAGCTGGAGGAGGATGCAGCCTGGGGCTGCAGAGATGGTCCAAGCATTGATAGGGTAAAGGACCAACGGTCTGGCACACAGCTCTCCCATCAGACATGTGGAAGTCTCTGCTGCTCACAGAGGCATTCCACTGATGGCAGGCAAGTTTCTCATCCTCCATGCTGGAAAGAAGTCATTTGAGACAGAACTGATCCTGCCCACTTTGGCCTCCTCCAGTGTCCAGAATAAGTGCTTCCCTGCAGAATCAATTGTCCTCTCTGCAGATCCTGAATTCCTCTTCAATTTCTGCATTGCAGTTTTAACTTTTCAAAAAGGAATGGTTTCCCTGACTTTTCTCACCCACAGGTGGGTGAAATATTTAAAAACCCTGGGGCTGCTCCTTCCCAGCATGGTTTTTGAGGTCAGAGTGAGGGCTTGGCAGGATCATTAGGAGCTCCCCCAGATTAGGGGTGCAGCCAGGCAGGTACCTGCTCTGTGAAGGAGGAGGAGTGGATCAGGACTGAGCTGTATAAGGACAGAGAACCAGGGGCTGCAACTCCGAGCTCCTGCAGGATGCGCCTGGTACCTTCCATCTGGAGATGGCTCCTGGACCTGTTCCCAGCGGGGCATCCTGCTTCCTGTCAGTATGCAGAAGTCCAAGCCGGATTTGAGCATCCTTGGGGACCTGAAAGAGCAGGCTCCTAGGAAGCCTGGACTCTCGCCTGCTGCTTTGTTCACAGCCTCTCCCAGGAGCACTTTTCTGATCTGGAGATTCAGAAAAATTCTCAGGCTCTTTGGGAGGTGATGGCCTCAGAGGATGGTGGCCCTTTTGTCCCCACCGTCACTCTGGGATCTTGGAAGTGTTGTTGAAAAGCCTGAAGCCTTTTACCTTCCCAGTTGGTGTGAGCTGCTCCCTGCATAGTGGGAGATGGTACCTCACTGTCACAGGACAGACTCACACTTTGCTGCTTTGACTTTTGCGACTCTTCCTTTTCCTCCATGTCCTGGTCCCAAGTTGTTCTGTATGCTTCTTCATCTCCTGCTACCATTAAGTCTTGCATTGCAAGTAATTGGTCCCGGGCCAAACCTCAGCCCCTCTTTTCCCCTCCCCTCTCAACTGGGTTCACTATACCCCACCCCATCCTGTCCCATCCCATTCTATCTCTGTTCTTTACCCACCTACATGAAGTCTCCGAGGCCTACAATAGTACCTTGTTGTACCTGTCAGGTTTAGGGTATAT